AATTTAATTCCCATGAATTTTTTCTTTTTTTCTTTTTTCCCAACCCCCTCTCCCCCTCCCCTCCCCATCCCCACCCTTCAATCCTACCGTCCTCCTTGAAATAAAAATTACACGTCACGATTCATTTTCAGTTATTAAATATGAATCAAAAGATTGAGTAATTACTTCGAGGTAAAATTCAATAATCCTTTTCGTTTTAAAAGTTTTTTTCCCTTTTTTCTTTTGTTTTTTTTCTTTGTTTTCCTTTGGTCTTTAAAAAAAAAAAAAAAAAAAGCTCCCGAAGACACGTCGCCTTAACTGAAATTAAATAAGTGTGGGGAAGATAAATGAATGGAAAGGAAAATGGTGGAAAGAAAGAGGGGGAGAAAAAGAAAAAGAAAAAGAAGAAGAAGAAAAAAAAAGAGGAAAAGAAGAGAAGGAAGAAAAAAAGGGGAAAAGAAGAGAAGGAAGAAAAAAATAAGAAAACAAGCTAAAAAAAAATAAAAATCGAGGAAAAATAGATAGAGGTGACAAGATGACGAAGGAAGGGAAGAAGGAAAGAAAGAAAGAGAGAAATAGAGAAAGAAAGAAAGAAAGAAAGAAAGAAAATGAAATAGGATAACATCCTGTAAGCTTTCAACCGAGTAAACTTCTTGATCAAAAGCGATGTGATTTATCTTCTTGATCTGAAACCTCGCTACAAACTGGAATATCTAGGTGAATTGACTGAAGCAATTCGTAAAAGTGAATTATTACAATAATTCTTTATCTAAACGTGACATAAAAGCGTGGATCGTAGAAGATCCTTTATCACGTTATACGAACCCGTTCAAGTATGCTCCATTCATTTTTCATCGAAAATAGGAATGGCAAAAGAATAATACGTTATCATTTTATTCTCTCGCGAAAAAGGATAATCATTAATCAATGTCCAAAAGGAATTAACTGCTAATATACTTTTTCTCATTATAGAAAACATTTCGGTAAATGGCACGTATGTAAGTAACATTGTTGTATTATTGTACATTATAGGAACGTAATTTTTTTTTTTTTTTTGTAATTTCATTAAGTTCGATAACGTATAATGGTAATACGAACGCTTACTTTGTGAAAATTATGACGAGAACGATTAAGAGGACGAGAATGATGACAAGACTCATGATGATGATGAATAACGATAATGAAAAATTATTCGTACCGTTGTTACGATGATTAGATAAATGGCGCTAATGAAGTAGAAATTTATACGCTTAAGACAACACGAAATTTATGTCGATGAATTTCGTTGAAAAATTATTACAACGTTGTATTAATAATTTCTCTATACCTCCCTCCCCCGGCCCTAAACCCACCCCTCTCCCCAAGGAAATATTCAATCGATAATTTCATTTATGTACATATACACACACACATACACACATACACACACACACACATACACATAGAGATACATATATTTCGTAATTGACATTTATTCGATAATTGATCTCATTAAAATGTCCTTGGCGCGTTGATAATTTTGTATTTCACAAAAAGAGAATACAATTATTGTTTCGCGTGACATTAGGATTAGATGTTAAATAAAAACAAGGGAAGAGAGAAAAAAAAGAAAAGAAAAGAAAAAAAAAAAGAAAGAAAAGAAGAAAAGAACAAAGTAAATACCCGATCATTTTTCATACTACTTTCATCATCCATTCGTTCGTATCGGAATTCCAAGTAATTTGCAGTAAAACGAGCGTACGACGATATCTTTTATTACAAGAGAGAATAATGAAAATGTATTCTTACGTGTAAGAAAAAGCATGAACGGAAGCAAGGAAAAAGATTATAAACGCGTGAAAGAGGGGGGAAAAAAGAAGAAAAAAAAAAGAAAAAAAAATAAGAAACAGCAGAAGAAGAGGAAGAAGAAGAAGAAGAAGAAGAAGAAGAAAAAAGATAATAGAGAAGAGGAAGCAATAGCAGAAAAAGAAAATGAAAACGAAAAGAAAAAAAGAAGAGGAGGAAGAAGAAGAAGAAGAAGAAGAAGAAGAAGAAGAAGAAGAAGAAGAAGAAGAAGAAAAATATATATATATAAAGCTACACGATGTCTCGTTCTCGTCGTCGCGTTTCGTTACGAACGGAATATCTCATTTCCTAATGGGCCAAGTCAGAGAAAACTCTCTTCTCTATCTTCCAAATGTCTCTCTCACATCCCTCTCTTTCTGTCGACCATCTCCCTCCTCCGTTTTGCACCGTTTCACCTTTTTTCCCTCCACTCTCACCCCCGCCCCCCCGGCTGCTCCACACTCCCTCCCACCCTCAAATCCTTCTCGTTCACCCAAGGCAGCTTCTTTTGTAATTAAATGCCACGAACTAGTCACGAGCGTGTGAAAGAGCAAAAGCGCTGCCGTCAGCAATGCGGTCTCGTCGTCGCGCACCGTGTGTTACACCGAGAATAAGCAATCAGAGGGATTTCTCTCTGTGTACGAGATAGTGTATGTGGTTGTCGATTAAAGAAGAGAAAAAAAAAAGAAAAGAAGAGAGAGAGAGAGAGAGGAGAAGAAAATGAAAAGGAAAGAAATATTCGTATGCAGTAGGTCGGAAAAAAAAAAAAAAAAGAAAGAATTTCGTATTGTACAATTTCGATTTGAAAGTAACTTCTATTCAAATTTCACGTTTGCTTTATTCATTGTGTCATGATTATTAAAATTATTACTCTAGTATGATTGTCAATAAAGAGAACGTGAGTGGTCGTCGATTAAAAAAAGAAAAAAAAGAAAAAAAGAAGAAAAGAAAGAAGAAAAGAAAAAAAGAAAAAAAAAATACAACCATGGTGGGGAAGTAGATCGGAAAAAAAAAAGAAAGAAAGAAAGAAAGAAAAACAATTTCGATGACATAACTTTGATCTTAA